CAAAAAAAAAAAAAAAAAAAAGAAATCAGTGGGGAGGAGTCAAGATGGCAGAGAAGTAGCAGGCTGAGACTACTTCAGGTAGCGGGAGATCAGCTAGATAGCTTATCTAAAGATTGCAAACACCTATAAATCCAACGGGAGATCGAAGAGAAGAAGAACAGCAATTCTAGAAACAGAAAATCAACCACTTTCTGAAAGGTAGGACTGGCAGAGAAGTGAATCCAAAGCGACGGGAAGATAGACTGCGGGGGGAGGGGCCGGCTCCCGGCAAGCGGCGGAGCAACGGACCACAAAATCAGGACTTTTAAAAGTCTGTTCCACTGAAGGACATCGCTCCAGAGGCTAAACCGGGGTGAAGCCCACGCGGAGTCAGCATGGCCTCAGGTCCCGAAGGGTAACAAAAGGATCGGGGGTGTCTGAGTGTCGCAGAGCTTACAGGTATTAGAACAGGGAAGCCGGCTACAGAGACAGCCAAGGAGTGAGCTCACAGCTCGGAGTTACCTTGAACTGGTCGCAGGCTCGGTGAGCTTGGAGCACGGCCGGAGGCCAGGGTGACGGGAGTAATTGGGCGTTGTTCTCTGAGGGCACACTGAGGAGTGGGGCCCCGGGTGCTCGGCTCCTCCGAGCCAGAGACTGGGAGGCCGCCATCTTCATTCCCGTCCTCCGGAACTCTACGGAAAGCGCTCAGGGAACAAAAGCTCCCGGAAAGCCAACCCGAGCGGATTACCCAGCCTGGCCCCTGGTAAGGGCGGTGCAACTCCGCCTGGGGCAAAGACACTTGAGAATCATTACAACAGCCCCCTCCCGCAGAAGAGCAACAAGAAATCCAGCCAGGACCAAGTTCACCTGCCAAGGAGTATAGTTTCAATACCAAGGAGAGCAGCGGAATTCCAGAGGAGGAGAAAGCAAAGCACGGAACTCATGGCTTTCCTCCCATGATTCTTCAGCCTTGCAGTTAATTTAATTTTTTTTTCTTTTTCAATTTTTTTTTCTCTTCTTCTGCTAATTTTTTTTTAACTTTTACCCTTTTCTTTTTTAACTTTTTTTAGCTAGTTTATCTAATATATATGTTTTTTTCCTTTCTATATTTTTTCATTATTCATTTTCTTTTTTTAATTGTTTCATTTTTTTTTCTTTCTGAACCTCTTTTTATCCCCTTTTTCCCCCCTCACGATTTGGGATCTCTTCTGATTTGGTTTAAGCATATTTTCCTGGGGTTGTTGCCAGTATTTTACTTTTAGTATTTTACTTGCTCCTTCATATACTCTTATCTGGACAAAATGACAAGGCGGAAAAACTCACCACAAAAAAAAGAACAAGAGGCAGTACCAAAGGCTAGGGACCTAATCAATACAGACATTGGTAATATGTCAGAT